CCAGCTGATCCAAATCCAATTCTGATCACGCCTACAGAAATAGAAAGGCCACATCCAGCTCCTTTATAAATAGGTGCAGCATGACTGAGCTCATTGAAGTTGAGTCAATGATGCAGTGGATTTCTGTTCAGTTCATTATTTGAATCTCTTAGTGCTCATCTGCTCATCTCTCCGTGTCTCCTTGTCTTATTTATCCTATTGCTTCAGCAATTTCTGCATAATGATTAATAACATATTGGAAAATTAAATTTAAACACTATATACTGGCTTCCTCTGTCTTGGACCATCCCTCTGCATGCAGGAGAAAGACATATGATGAAGTCAAACCTTAGATAGACTTCTGAAGAGGGAGGCTGAGCTGGTGTTACAGAGAGAATTGACTAAATTGATTGCATTTTATCTTTTGTAATTTTCTGTTATTAGCCGTGAAGATGGCTGATGGTATTTAGTCCTTTTTGTGGAACAGCTTTCTATTTATTCTTGGTAGCTCCCATTTTTTCACCAGCAATATGCTTTATCAGCTGGAAGTGACTAGTATAACAAGTTTAAGGGTTATATTCCTTCAAATTGTACTCTTTAGTTTCTTGTCAAGTGCTCTGTATACATACAATAAACTAGTCAAGAAGTGGATTTAATTTGTGTAGCAATGAACTTTGATTTTTATTATATCGTCTTGTAGTTCTTTCCAGTGCTAGCAATTTTAATTAATAACAATAGGATTTAATCAGTCTTTATTATAAAGAGGAGAATTGTCCTTTTAAAATGAAATGCATTTGGCCAAAAAGATAACGGACTATTCAGTGTAAAAAAACCCTTACAAGATAGCTCATTTAAATTCTCTAATGCCTGCTGGCTATTTGTTAATATCATTACCTTTGCCTATTAACTACCTATTAATATAGTTAGCAAGATAATCCAAACTAGGTTGTTACTTGGGAACTATCATTACAGAGTGTTTGTAGTATGAACTGTGTTGTGCTCAATGAAATCTAATTCTTAATTAATTTTATTAGCATTACTATGACAACTGAGAGCAATGCAAATTTGAGCTGTCGTGTAGTCTTTCTAATCTCTGGAGTATAAGCTGTTAATCTTTGTATTTTTATCTGGGGAAGAAGAATGAGGAAATTCCTCATGTCCTTACCCGGAGATGTAAGACATGGAGTCTAAAACAGAACTGTCTTGCCATTTATCTACTTACCTTAGATCTGAATTTGGCCTAGTCTGACAGCCTGACAGAAACCACTATGTGTGACGAATGTGCTGCAGGACAAAAATAGAATCCGGTCCGAAACCAAACCCAGCGCAGCAGCGTTCGCTCCCTCACAGGCAGACTGAGCAAACTGCAGCAGCAGCGCTTCAGAAACAGTAAACCACTGAATGATTCAGGCTAATCAAAACTTTATTGATCTATGAAGAGGAAATCGCAGAAAAGCAGCCCTGCACTCCACTCACATTTACAGACTACGAGCAAGCACAAGCTCAGAGGTGCTCTGGGATAGCCCTTTACTGTTGTGACAGAGAGCAGCCATTTCCTCAAGCTCTGCCCAGATGTATCCCACATGTTCTCCCAACCTTTCTCTAAAAAACAGTTCCCATATATTTATGCCATAGATGGAGATTCTCTTCACAGGTGCCACTAAACTTGTGATTTTTAGCGGCAGTGTTCAAATCAGTTACCTGTCATCATCAAAATCCCCGAGAGGTGGCTTCTAAGAAAATCTGAACGTCCCCAGAGCACATGCCTGACAGCCCTGTTCCCCAACAGTGTTTGTCATTAAGAAGAGGAAGCTTCTAAAGCAGTGAAAAGCAGAAGTCTGTTTGAAAAAGAAACAGTCACCTGCTAGAAATTACAGAAACTTGACACTCTTAGAAAGTTGTCAAGAGTGTTTCGTCAAGTCCGTTCCTAGTTCGAAACAATTTATCATAGTAGAGTGCCAAAAATGAACTGTAAAGGAAGTAGAGCTGAAGACAGACAACTGATAGACTCTCCCATTAGTTTGTTTATCAGCGATATTTTTAAAGGTTTGGAATACCTAAAATGCAAGAGGCCTCCTTCAGATTAGCTTTACTTTAAGGTCCCCATTGCGAAGTCTCAGAGGAGTTTTGCTTGAGGGAAGGCTCCGTACTGTAGCACCTTCCTACTGATGCCCTTCCCTTTTGGGGAACTGTATCCAGTAAACAGTGGCCCAGGCAAAATTCCAAAGTGGTGGTGAATAAGCCCCTTGGTGACAGAAATGGGCTAATAGGACTGGTAAACTTATAGTGAAGGGAGCAGTGAGTAGGAGCAAGGAGGTGTAACCTCTTTTACCGCTGTGTCCTTGGAAGTACTGAATGCTTGGAAGACTGATACTAGAACACTTTTTTTTTTTTTTTTTTTTTTTAAGGGCTGTTGAAAACAGTTTAGGTGCAGGAGAGATCTACAAAATGGTTCAAGAACTGAGAAAAAAGAAAAGCTGTTGCAGAAAGGGAGTGATCTCTGTCTTGACTCACTCTTTTTGAAAAAACGTTCAGGCAAGAATAGGAGTACTTGAGTACTTCTGGGAAAGCAGTGTGTCTAGGGTTTAGGGAGACGAAAGTCTCCGCAGTCTGCTGGAGGTAGGCATAACAAAAAGTGCTTCAAATTAAAAACCAAATATATTTAATAAATATTAAATCACACATTTTAATAGGAAGGTTTACTAACTATTGGAGCAAACTTCACAGAGAAGTGGTGGATTCTCCATTACTAGAAGTTTTTGCATAAAAACTGTCTGTCTTTATAGAGCATATCATTTAGTGAAATATAACTAGATGACATGCTATGATTTGGGTTACATAGGAGATCCAACTAGGTAAGTTGATCACCTCTCACCTTAAAAAGCTTTGAAAAGATTGGTGAAGGATCAGAATAGTGCTATTCAAATTTGCTGCACATTAGGCATGGCATCATATCCATAGCAGGGTCTGAAAAGATTGAAGTTGCGTATCCTGAGCTTAAAAGTCTCCACAGAAATATTGAAAGTGAATGACACAAAATAATTCTATTCCGCAGGAAGGATATAAAGTACTAATTAACGATAACCTTTTATTTCTAATTGGCAGATCTGCAGTGGAAGTCTGGGCATATGGCAGAGAGTCTAACAAATATGCCTCGTCACTCCCTCTACATCATAATTGGGGCACTTTGTGTCGCGTTTGTCCTGATGCTGATCATCCTGATTGTGGGAATATGTCGCATCAGCCGCATTGAGTATCAAGGCTCTTCCAGGCCAGCCTATGAAGAATTTTACAACTGTAGAAGCATTGACAGTGAATTCAGTAGTGCAATTGCTTCTATCCGACATGCCAGGTTTGTTGTGGGAATGGTAATTTAACCGAAATGTCTGTTATGCTATGTCATTTCAGTCCATGCGTAGTGCATCTAACGGCTGTTGACAGAATCGACTGCCTGTCTGTGAAAAGACAGGATCATCGGCATTGCTTCTTGTGCTTTTTGATCCCCATTCTGTTCTCAGCTGAAGTGTAGTATAGTAATTCAGCACAACTCCTCAGAGACAGTGGGAATTATTCTGAGTTTATTTGGTGTGACTGGTGAGGAGAGGCAGGTGCCATTCTCAGCCAGAAAGATCTTATGTTTGAGATGTAAATATTCTTTAACTAGTATACTTGAGTAATTTGATAGCAAAGCCACTTGTTGAATTTGTGATTAGTTTACCAGGCTATTCAATAAGACTCTTTTCAGATCACTTTATTTTCTGTGCCCCTGTTCGCCTTCAAACGAGGATCATTCTTGCTTTCCTAGAGATAGTAACCTTTTAACGTTTAAATTCAAGGGAACACTTGCAAGCCAGGGCATTGGGTGTCAGCGAATAATGTAAAAGTAGGGCAGGAAAGCATTCAAGAGCTCAAGTGCAACCCACTGCACTGATGTAGCATTAATTATACCTAGTTCCTTTTAAAGACAATTGTCTTTAAAAACCTCCAGAGATGTTGAACAGATTTAGAAAGTGCTTTCCTAATATCCGACCTAGATTTTCTTTACTAAAAATGAGACTAGTTCGTTCTTACTGCTCTTCAAGTTGTCGTGGAGAATAACCGATTATCGTTCCATTACTAGTAATCACAAACATCAGGTGTCTCTTTTTTTTTTTTTTTTTTTTTTTTTAAATCTTCTCTTCCCTAGACTAAACTAACCCAGTTCTTTCACTGTCTCCTCTTGGATCATGTTACGTTAACTTCTTTATTGTCTCCCTGGGACACGTTCCACTTTGTCTAAATCTTTTTTGGAGGGTGATCCCAAAAACTGGAAATAATGCTCCAGATAAGGCCTTACCTGTACAAAATGAATTGAGTAATCATCCTCTATATCTTTGGCATTCCTATTCCTGTTCATATGCTTTTTTTTTTTTTGAAGTAGCATTACACTATTGACTGACAATTTAATTCTGTGGTCTGTTAGACCTTTTCCTCACCCAAAGATCCTTTGTGCCATATTGCTTCCTAGCCAGTATTGCTTTTTCTGTATTTGACATTTCCTTTAATAGAGTAGAACTTTTCATTTTTGTTGTTTACTTTTCCTGTTTCTTCAATTTATTAAGGTCATTTTGAATTCCAACAAAGAGTGTTCATATACATTACCGTTAAAATGCTTTTAAAAGAATGGAGGAAGACACTTTCATGTGCATTGAGATGGAGAAAGGACTGCATATTGTTTGGAGATTGCCGGAAACTGATTGTCTGAATGCTCCAGCTCAGTTTCAGTGAAAACGAAATGGATTAATTTGTACCACCACTGAAGTTATCCAAGTTATTTGAGTTTGCATTGAAATGGGTGAGGATTCCCGAAGGTCAGTTAATCACATCTAAGCTGTGGGCAGTAGCTCTTTAAGCTGTTCCAACTAGATTTACAATGAAACATTTGTTCGTCATCAAAAGATATTAGTCAGGAAATATTTTAAAAAAGAAAGTTGTGCAGTTTATTTAGCATATTCTAAATAAAATCAGCGTTAATCCTTCCTGTGAAGTCTCCTTTGCCACTCAGCCTAGCATCTCTTCCCCTAGGAGCTCAGCATCTCCACACCATACGCATCCCAAGAACTCCTTGTTCTTCAGTGGTATATTGGGAGAAGAGGAAGTTATTTTAGTCTCATTATTTGGCCTTGTGAACGTCCACTGTTTTATACTGCACATCTCCAAGGGTAGACAGCAAGGTGCGAAATGATATTGTTACTCTTTCAAATTAAACATGTCTCCTCTTACTACTGCAGCAGTGAGGAATACACCCTCCCTGTTCAGTTACTACTCGCTGAAGTGGTACTTTGCACTTCCCCCAGAACTGGAAATGGTCTCCTGAAGAGCAGTGTGAAAAACCTTGCTTTCCCTATTTATTTCTCAAAGCAAGTTTGGCACTTCTTTATCCAAGGGCACCACGAAACAGTGTGCTAGTGGGACAAGAGCTTTTTGATCTGAATTTTCCCTTCCTTTTGTGGTTTCACAGACAGGTTATGGAAAAGATTTCTTCTTTAAGACCTTTCAAATTTTGGAAGCTGGGATGGTTCAGGTCTGTCTTACTACTTTCTGAATTACTCTGAATGCGTCGCCATTTATTACTAAAGACGGAACTTTAGAAAAAACAGGTTTGCTTTGAGGTTAAATAACCAAGAAATCTTTAGATTGAGATATATTTGTGGTGATTTTTCAGATCCGTGTTATGCAGCTAAAAATGACAATGTTGGAACCTGTAAAGGGTTTCCATATCTTGAGAAAGGTGTTTCTACTTAAGGCAAATGAAAATAAATGTTTTCCTTTCACTTAATACTTCCTTCTGAAGAAGGAAACGAGAGCTAAGTTTGCCGGGAATGGATGCCTTATAAAAATCCAAGATAGCACTACTAAGTCAGGTAGTTCAGAGCTTTAGCGTGAAGTTTGTTGTGGGTTTTTTTTTTCTTTTCCTATTTTAGGAAAATATAAAACAGTGCTTTGGTCATTTCAGTCCAGGAAAAGGAACACAACTTCAGTAGCTTTTTTTGCATACGTTCATAAATACACATATTAGGAAAACTAAGGTCTGAATTTTCAAAACTGATATTTAAGAAACCTGAATATCAAAGAACAGTTTCTCAGCACTTTCTGAAAATCACTCCCTTTTCCAGCGAGATACCAAACTTATTAGTCGTTTTGGAAAATGTAGGCCTAAGGAAAAGTAAGTAGTTTATTTTCTTTTAACATAAAATTTCTGTTAACATCATTAGGTGAACACGTGTGGATGCCTGTTGCATATTTAGTAAATTATTTTAAGATTACTTGTTCAGTTTTTGTTTCCTCTTTCAAGTCAAGTTCTCAGCAGGGTTTTTTTCCCAAACATTTTTATAATTTGATCTTCACTGATCAGGGTACTTGTTGATGTGAATGTGCTCAAGGATCATCATTATTAAAAAATGTCTACTTAGTGAATGTTCTAAGGATTAGCACATCAGAAATAGATTAGTTTTCTAAAGAAGTGAAGCACACCTCTCTTTAGCATTCATTATGCCAAGAGTAAAGAAATACTCCTTTCATATTAAAGCTCATAGATTTTAAAGGCCAGAAGAGAATATTGTAATGAAATAGTTGACCACTTACTAATGCAGCTATAAGACTTCATTAAATTGGAAGCAGTAACTGTTCTTGAACCTAGATCATATCATTTAGGAAAGTGACCATACTAAATTTATGAAATATCCAGTTAGAGAGACTGTACTTATGTGTAGGTATCATTATCATTAGACTTTATACACTATTTCTCCTGTATTCTGCTTAATTTTAGCTTTCAGGCGCTGAAATCTTTTTCAATCTCTGTGCAGACTGAGGAGTCTGATTCATTGGACTCCAAGTAAGTCATCTTGTCCCAGCCCTGCTAAGGTTCTTTCCACTCCACTTTCTCCATGTTCCTGGGTTTGAATCTATCATGTTAGACTGCAGTGTCCCAAGTTTCCTGAATCTGATTAGCTTTAGCAAATTTTCTTTTATTACATTTTCCTGGCATAGGTTTCGGTGATGAGTTTTAATCAGCTACCTCTTTGTGGAAGTGTAGTCATATGCGCACATGCTCTGGTGTCCAGGGCATGTGCCAGTTGATGAACTGCATCTGTTGCCAGTCACAGCTTTGTGGGAACTCTAGGATTACAGTTTAATTGTATTAAGGAGTGCACGATACCTACTCCTGTGTGTGACTTCTCCTCTGAATAATGGAGAGAAAAGTATTATTCTCATTATTCTCTTCCTATGGAGGAAAGAATAATCCCTTCCTCCCCTGGCAATGCATTTTTTTTCTTCTGATCCCTCTCTCTTTCTTCTCTTGTTTATAATTCCTTTATTTCTGGGTCCCCTTATCAGAGTTGCTGGTTCTGAAGAGAGGATCAACACGTGGTTCCTTTCTTCTGCTTCTGGGGAAATTCCAAGCTCCGATCTATTCTATGGAGGTTGGGGAGTACCATTTCCTTAGGGTTCAGCACTGCAATTTTCTCGAAGCTCTTCTTGAATGGGATCGCTGAGGCGGTTGAGTCTCTGCGGTTAGCTGTCCTTGCAAATTTCCATCTAAGGAAGTGGAGGGACAACCCAGTTCCACAGCTGAAGAGGGGCTGGCAGTCTCTCGCATGCATGCACACACATGGACTTGCACGCACACACACATGGAGCTGCCTGTATCAGGAATTCCTGTGCTAAATATATACTGTCCCCAAAATTGTCACAGATCCCTCAGTTTCTCTTTGCAAGTTTAAACAGGTTGATCTCATTCAGTGTTTCATTACAAAGTACATTTTCGAATTCTCTTTTTTCCCTGACTTTCTGGTGATCCTTTTGCAACTTGTAAATATCTCTAAAGTACATGTTGGAGCAATATCATAATTCACTAATGGTTAGATCAGTGCTAAACGTAGAGGCTGTAGAACCTCCTAGCCCTAGTGATAGGCTCTCTTTACAAATTCAAGCTTGGACTTTTTCCTCAGTTACAGTATGATGCTAAAAGCTATTGTTAAACTGATTATTCATCATGACCCTTTAGTCTTTTCCAGACTCGGTAATCCCCAGGATAGAGATTTCCCCATCCAGTATACACTCTTTGTTCATAGTTGAGTATCTGTGTTTGGTCATACTGGAAGAAATCCTTTTTTCATTTGTTTGTGTTTGCTTTTGTTGTAAGCAGTCTATTCATTGATCCGGTACGCTCTGCAGCAGGGACCTGCAACTCTTCACTATTTAGCACCCCTTTAATCTGTCTCTCTTGCAGGTTGTATTGGCGAGTGTTTTATGTTTTCTTTTATATCATCAATTAACATGTCAAATAGCATAAGATCTGTGTGCAACCCCTACTAGCTACATGTCCATTGGACAAGGACTCCCCATCTAACAGTTCTGTTTTCAGACCTCTGCCTTCTCTGTTAGCTCTGCTGAACATTAGGAGCAGGGCTGGCTTCTCAGCTCCCTGATCAAAGCAATATGGGCTACCAGCTGGATGGCTCAGCCAGGCCACAAACAGCTAGCATATGTGCTGTGGTCTTTTCTCAGCGTTTTCTGATTAGAGGCACATGTCAACCCTGACCTACACAAGAGGATGCATTTTGTACTGTTTCACCATGTGCAGCAAACCATGTGTTCTCTGTACTTGTCAAAAAGGGCAAAATTTGACTTAAATCACTGGGGAGTTTTCATCGTTGTTTGCATCTGTTAAAAAGATGCAAACTACTTCCTTACACCCCTTGAGAATGATGAAGAAATTGAGTGGAAATGGATGGATGGAGGAATGGGGAATTCCCCACTGCCTCTGATTTAGTAAGATGCCTTAACTTGATTCCTTCATTTGATTCCTAAAATTTTATCTTGTTTACAGAAAATCAGATTCATCCATGATGAAGTTGATGAGTGCACATGGCCTATCCGTAATTTTTTTTTTGTAAGCTATAGAAGAAAGCAGACAGTCATGCATGGAATTGTATCCATTATGGGCTTATTTACTGTTGAAGTACTTTGACAAATGAGATTTCCACCATTTGAATGATAACACTTCCAGACATTTTAGTTTTATTAACAGCTCTAGATTACTGAAAACAGCCGAAAATTAAATTGGAGCAATTAGGAAATGGCATAGATATTTTGGAAAAAAGAAGTATTGATTTTATTTTTGTCTAAATATTATCCTTAAAAATCTGAATTTTCTGAATCTCACCTTCCAGTGTGAAAAACTTAGACTAATGTAGAGTTCATATGGTACATAAGGGGTTAAAAAGAATCCTTTGTGTGGATTGCTGGAGAAATAAGACTTTCTATTTTTATGCTAATATTTTCTCTGCATCAGATTTATAAGGAAAGTAGACTTGATCCTTTTTGACTTCATTTTCTTACGATCCTATTTTGTTATTTAAAGCTCCTGTAATTGTAGTCAGAACACTTAAGCCATCTTTCCGCTTTCAAGTTGAATTTTTAGCACTATAGCACTATTTTTGTATCTTAATAAATGATCCGAAGAGCCATAGACTGTCTGTGCAGTGCAAAGGCACCTAGCTTAGCTCTGTATGTGCTGGAGGAGGGCACTGCTTACCTGCTTCTGTCCCATCTGGTAACTTTGCTAGATTAGTATCTTTATGAGGCATTGCAGTATCCTAACTGCCACTAGTTTTGTCAGTTGCGCAAATTGGATGCCTCATGTTGATAGCGTCAGCCTGCTTCTCAAGTGGATGTCAAGTGAGAAAAGACTTCAAGTTAATCTTTCCATGCTTTGTCTGCAGGTTAGAACTCAATTAACTGTACAACTGTTGCATTTCCAAATGCAAATGTGATGTGCCTGTCTGTTTATTTTTCATAGATATACTTGAAAATGTTGGTTGTTACAGCAGGCTCTAAAATAAAATATTGGCCTTGTTGAAACTGTATCATTGTCACTTGTGGCTTCCACAAACTTCATGGGTTCTGACACTGCTCAATTCAGTGGCAGAATTCCTGTAGACTTTGTTATGGAATCTATTTTGTGTTTACTGGAAGGTGTTTTTTTTTTTTTTTAAATCTGATATCCATATATCTTGAAAGTTCCAGCTTAGGTATTTAAACTTCTGTACATCTGGCATGTTGCAATGTAACCTAGAATTTACTTAGGTTCTCTGGGTTTCTTTCCAACAGCATGCCATAATTCAGTGCGTTATTGCAGTTAACTTGTTCATACTTCTGTTTGTCACCAAAAGCTTTCTTTCGTTTTCAGGTTTGGCAAGAAATCCCGACCTGCAATGTATGATGCAACTCCCATTGCTTATGAAGATTACAGCCCAGATGACAAACCTTTGGTTACACTGATTAAAACAAAAGATTTGTAATCTAGTGTATCTTTTTGGGGTTATTTTTCAAAAGGATGGGCTACTAACCTAATTTAAATATTTTTAAGAAGAAAGCATAAGCAATTTAAAATGTTAGATGCTTCAGAATTTTCTGTAGAATATTTAAGAACCAGTTTTCTGCAGCTTTTAGTTTGGAAGAATATTTTAAAAGACAATTCGTGAACTTCATGGATTACATTTTAATGTACCTTGAGCTCTGTAAACTATAAGCTTATGATAGTGTGTGCTTTTTTTCTTGGTAGACACTATTACTAAACCCAGATGAGTTTCTTGTGGTTGTTACAGAACAGAAAATAATTAATGAAGAGTTCCTTATGACATGTCAGTGCCAGCTTTCTCAGTAGAGGTAGGAAAAATGTGAAGCATAATATGATACATAATATATCCATTAATTAAAAAGAAGTCTAAAATGTTTGTGTTGTGAAAAAGAAACTAGTAAAATTTATTATTCCTAATCTGAATGAATTAGCTTTTGCCTTACTCCATGCATGGATAGATAATTTATTTCTGCATTGTTTCCTGAAAGTTGCTGAAACATACTTTTGAGTTGATGTTTGACATTTTTGTAATGGTATTTAGGCTAAGCCTTGTATAATAATTAAAGTGCCTCTTGAGGCGAAGTAAGGGCATGATCCGCTACACATAGACATCAGTGAGAAAACTTCCACTGACTGCAGTGTACATGGGATTGGATCCTACAATTGGACCGAATCTATATTTTTCTTTAAAGGTTACAGGTTTTTTTTTTTATATTGTGCGTAAACTAAGCATATAGTTTGAGTTGTTTGTTTCCCAAAGGTTGTTAATGTACAGTGTCGTTTCATTAAATATTGTGTATTTCTCATAGTGCTTCTTATTTATGATCAGTATGGGTTTTTCTTTTTGTGGCTGTATTTGATCGTTTATCGGCTTCTTAAAATTCTCGCTTATTTCAAAAAATATTTAATAAATGTTATCAAGTGAAGATTGCAGCTGTTCCTTTTGTTTCCCTTCATTTGAAAGTGCAGTGTTGCCTATAAATTTGAAAGAACCTGAGTATATAATATGCTCTAAATAATGCCTAGAGAAGATATTACGGCTGTTAATCTGAAAAGGAAAAAAACAGACTTAATTAACAAGGCAGGTTACCGTGGCAGCAGTTAGCTTAGGAAAGAAGAGGAAGAACTATATGACGGTTTTGGTGAAGTAATTTGTCTGTTTAAGCTTTCGGAGTAAGGCAAAGGAAGACGACTGACTACTGTTCTCTAATTTAGTGCTTAAGGAACTAGATTAGGAAGTGGAGAACTTAGGCTCAAGTCTCTGTTTGGCTTAGTTTAGAATGACCTGCATTGAAAAGCTGTACTCTGGTTAGCTCTAAAACAAATTCTCATTTTGGGGTGAAGCCTGTAGTGGAACATAGATAGAACCTGAAAACCGATATGCATTATTTTCTGTTTCCTCAGAAGTGAGGATCATGATAACCTTTCAACAGTGAGGCAAGTACAGTGCAGGAGTGAAGATGCAGTCCTGCAGTCCAACCCATATGAACCACAGCCTGTTCCTGAATGGATTTGACTGCAAATCTGGGCTCCGAGTTACAGCAAGAGTAAGATTTTGTCACAGATAACTCAGTGATATGAGTAGGCCTGATCCAGGTTGGTTTCAAAGAGACCTGCTATTGGGGTACCCAAGACTGAGCATTGTAGAGGTGAATTGTTGTAGCTACCGACCTACAGATGCTGTTGCGTGGTGCTGCGCTAGATCCGATCAGTACTGTTATATTAGACATTGAGTAAGCACTGAAGGGCTACGCTCTGCTTGATCTCTTAACGTTGGGCGGTCATGGAATGTGTCCAAAATGTTGATATTTCACAAAGACAAGGTTTCCAGACAGAGCAAGGATGTCCCCAGGGAAACCCAGACTCCTGATAGCCCTCTGAGTGAAGGTATCTCGCGCCTCAAGAGTCCTTCCCTTCACTAGTCAATACTGACATCTCCAAATCTCAGATCAGCCACTAAAGACAAAGACAACAGAAGGAACTGAGGAAGCAGAAAAGCTGCCGCTGGTTTTACTGCCTTGTGTAGGTGGGCAGAGCACAGCTGGTATGTTACTCTTAATTTTGCATTTCTACTTCTTGTTACAGAGGCTGAATCTATTTCCCACACCCTGAACAATTAGTGTTGACAGGAGGTAGACAAATTATTGTAAATCAAGCTGCCAGTGTTACTAAAATGTAAATATCATTGTGAGGTTATGTTTTAGTTCACCAAAAGAAGTCAGGAGAGTAAGGAGAAATGGGCCAAACTTTAAACATTTAAACACTGCTTAAATAAAAAATCTCCTATTATTGTTAGGAATGGCTGGATGGTGAATATGCGGGTTAGTAAGACCATGCTGTATTTGAGTTATATAAATGCCAAATGCCTCTTAAAAACTCACAATGTCTTTCCTGACCTCCTGTATCCGCTGCTGTGGATTTTTACTGATGTTTGCCCAAGACAATAATTGCAAGAAAGAGGCCTAAAGAAGCCACGTTCTATTCCTAAGGTACAGTTTGCTAAGACAGAATGTCAGCATTTGCATCTGGTGGCTGTCTGGTGGCAGACTAGTTTTACCCTGTGGATTTTTTTTTTTTTTCATGGGAACAAAGTTCCCTTCTGCTGCTTTATCTGTGGTATGGAAACTTTTGTTTACGGTGACTTCCAAGTGTGGGTATGTTTTAAGACCCCAGCAGAGTAACAGTCAGAAAGAAGCTATTAGCCTATGTTCTTTCTCCTGGCTTATCTGTGGAACAGGTGCAAATACATTTGAGTTATAACTGATTTGCTAATCAGATAGAAAAGAAATACTAATTCTTCTGAGTTTTTAGTCCTTTCAGTGGTAAAATATTGGTTTATCTTTGAAGAGCTACAAATCTATACAACGTATAGAAACAAGCAACTCTGTTGTTCTAAGGAACATATACATATTCATAGTCCATATTTTGCAAGAGAGATGTTGCAATGAACAGTAGCCCTTCTGCCTACAAATCACACCTCGGGAGGGATACCTGACTAGTCTATATTTCTCTCAAGTGACTGACCTGAAAGATAAGTAATTTGTTAGGAGCTATTTTCCTGTCAGCTTGGAGTCTCTAGCTTCTGTAAATCATCCTGTGCTTCCTGTGAATTGTGCTTTGAAAATTACTTTTGCTCCTTTCAATTTATTTTATTGAACTCTGACAGCATGTAATGCATGCACTGTGCCTGTGTCTGTGCACTTCAGAGATATCTGTGAGGCACCGCACTGCCTGCCAGATGGACTGGCCCTTAGACCTGGAGGGCAGAAACCCATCCTGAGTTTTTATCCCAGCTGTGAAGCTGCTGGAACAAGTTGCTTACCCTCTTTATATGCTACATCATGCCTTTCTGAAGATAAATACAAAGGCAGACAAAGGAGACAAAGGACACCGGTTATTCCATATGCTCTTCCCAAACCAAAGTGCATTTGTTCTATACAGGGAGCAAATACAGCTGTATAGCAAATACCACCTGCTCTTAATAGCCCACACGTGTTTCTTGCTGCAAATCAGATGTAGAAAGGGGTGGTTGTATGTGCTCTTCTCCCTGGCAAAGTGCTAATAGCATCCCGCTCCTCCTGTGCCCAGGGCCATCTCGGGGCTTGCTGTTCACTTCCATTGCTTGTGACTGACCAGGGTCTGCCCTCTCCTGGTCCTGTTTTCGCTGGGAAATACCCAAGGGCCTCTCCCAAAGCGCCACAGACATCTGATCTTACCTGCTTCTTGGGGTGGTGTGATACTTGCAATTATAGCTCAAAGTTGTGATATATGTGCTAACAGGAAAAGGGCATTTTTTACATTGAATTAGGAAGATGATGGTCCAAAGGAGGAAGACAGCCTCCCTGTCCCTGTGGTTGGGCTAATTGCAGTATGATGCATATACACAAGAGAAAGCCCGAGGGAACAGTTGAGAATAAAAGCTAGCAAACATGTGTTGCCTAAAGCCGCATACATAAGCCACATTAAGCATGTGTCGGCCTCTCAGGTGAGGTCTGCCTGACTTCTTGGGTGACTGCAGGGGGAAGAGCAGCCTGCCAAGTTTGCTTCCCCAGTGGTGTGGCCCGTGTCACAACCAGTTTTTAGTAGCAGACCTTCTGCTTGGGAGAAGCGGGAACTCCATCCTCCCTAGGTTCTAGCAAACTTCATTTTCTTTCAAATACATGGTGAAAAAACTACGATGCTGAGGGGTCCAGCTAGCTGGTGAACAAACCCGAGCTGCTGCCGAGACGGAGGGTGTCTGCTTCCCCATGGCGCATGGGCATGCTGCGGCGTGCTGCTCCCCGAGCACTGTGGCCCGGCATCCATACAGCTTCGCTGCCGGAGAAGGCTGCCAAGCAAAGAGCCACCGTCCACTTTGGAGAGCCATTGCAGAAAATCCCGACGTGTCCCTGTGCCTGGGCGTGTAGTGACAGCCCGGGCCGGGCAGGCGGCAGCAGAGGCGCTGCTGTGAGCGAGGCGTGCAGAGCCCGAGCGTCCCGCACCGGCAGCGCTCATTTCCGTGCTATAAATACCGGTTGGCAGTAGCCCTCCTGCTGCGTTGGTGAGGCAGACAAAGAACGAGCGGTTTGGGGAAGTGATCCTGAACCAGCTGGGATCTTGGGGAAGCATCCAGTGGAAGCCTGCCTGAACTCTCTTTGTTCTCAGCTTTCGTTGTTTCTGTTACCAGATTAGTCAAATGATAGGCTCAGAGAGAAACTAATGGCTGGGGAAGCAGGGAGCGCAAAGGGAGACATAGGTGATTTATGAGCACTTGAGAGGAGATCTGAGGCACCCCCTACCATGATTAACCAGGTGCATTGTGCATCCATGTCTGGGTAAAATCCTGCACCAATACTGCAAGTCTATTTTTGCTGTTACTCCCTCTCCTGCACATGTAGCTAACTATTGCACTAATCTGAAGAAAATGAGAAGCAGAAAGACTTTGAAGCTCAGTAAAATCCACATAGATGCCACTTCAAATGGCACAAGCCTCTACACGCTTACTCCCTTTGCAAACAATGGGAATTTGGAGCTGATATTTGTGACATCCTTGGGGAAACTGGGTGTTTCTCCACATCGAAAACCAAAAATACATCTGACCATAGGTGCATAACACTGGTAAATGCCGTTTGCTTCAGTGAAGCCTCTTACAGTGAAGCTTTGGTCACAGCACTGATGATTTCATCCTATTTCAGCTTAATTTTTGGAAACAGGTTAGCTTTTCTCCAGCAGGTCTTTGTTGAGAAACATTTGAGCAGACACCAGGTTTGTGAAGATGTATAGTTTCTTTTTTTGATAGCAATAGATGCCTGATGAGGAATAAGTTCAACATCACTGAAAATTATTCTCTGAGAGGAAGGCTGAGAGGAATTAAATAGCTGCTCCTTCCTTCGGTTGTTGGAGTTATGCCTAGAGGGGGCAACTTTGTCCCTTCATGTGGCTAAATCCTTCTGTGTCAAAAATTTCTCTGAGATTCCCTTCTCGTTTTGCACACAATGATTCAGTTTTGGCAGAGCAGACCTGCACCCCGCAGTAGACAGAGGCATATCCCATCCATAAAGCTGAGCAAATCAAGCCCATCTTCCAGCACAGTTTTATGCGAGCTGTTTGCTGCATCAGACATCAAACTTTCACCCTTTTTCTTTCACTGCTGCACTGCCTTGTTTCCAGACTTCACCTGCTGTTCAATACTGGCAGAAATCTGCTATTTGTATGTACTCAGCTCTCATATTGCTGACCTCAGAGGAGATGCATAAGTATGGCTCTCCCAGGGACCTTTTCTTCCTGCTTGAACATGGGAGACAAATGAAAAACACTTCAACTCAGGGAAAGGTTTAGTCTCTTGGACCATTCCCTGCTATAGATAGTTTAAAAAAATGAGACTATTTTCACGAGCTAATGAATTTGTCCAGGTTCCTAACGTAAGAAATGGGAGCTTCAGGCCAGCCCAGTGT